GTTTGCGAAATTATCGTATTTCCACCCCCCCCCTCCCTATCTTGAAAATTTTTCGTTTTCTGTTTTTCAGTATATGCATTGAATTTCTAACACCACTTTCCATGTTCGTGCGCAGATTTTCCTTCCTCTAGTGCCAAAGAAGGCATAGCTTCCCATCAACTTGAAAAGTAAATTTAGACCTCTTTGTCGCCATAAGAAAGTCCAGACTCTTCCTTAATGCTTCAAATAACACCAAGATCACATGACTTCCCCCACTTAAAAATACGATCTAAAAGAAATTTAGTGAAAAATTCCTAGAATTAGATTAAGGGGATTTCCAACATAATAAGCACCACCTAAAACTGTAAATCCAAAACTTTATTCAGTAAAGCGTCTATCAAAACTATTAAATTTGACAGCGGGTAGTATAAGAACTCAGACAAACTTCTTGTGCACGGTAGAATCAAAATCAACCCATATGCCAATAATCTTGTTTAACGCAGATTAGAAAAGATAATACCCGGCCTCAAAAACTATTGCCTAATCTAGGTCTAGCTTGTTGACTATCCTTTACTCTGCTAATTCGTTTGCACTAGCTACTAAATAGTAGCTTAATGAGCAAAATGCAACAGTACAAGTCTGCAGTAAAACCAAGAAAAAATATTTTCGATGTACAGTATAAAAAACTCCGTCAGGTACACCACTCTGCGGTAATCCTGAAAAAATAAAAAAATTCTATAAAAACCCCTCAAGTTGTCAAAACTTAAACTTTCTGTGCACTGTAAGAAACTAATTCTGTTTGAATGCAACAGTAGAGCACTGCATAAAAAACCCCGCTAATAAAACACCCCTCGAAAAAATTAGGACAAGCGATGAGTCTCTTGTGTAAAGGGCGATCAAATAACGATTTCACACTTCCTACGCAAGTTTTTCATATGGCTTTTTCAATTCCCTCTCTCATTGAATTAATTTCAGCACCTCCTATTTCCAGACAAAGAAATTCCATTGTGGCGTAACTGGTATGCATTACCCTTTTGCAGAAAAACCGTTGTTAGAAATGTCAACGACGCTAAACACAGAACCGGTTAGCTAAAAAGCCCAAAAAAGCAAAAGTATAGCCACTTTTAGCAACTTAAAAAACAAAGTTAACGACAACCACAAGCAAGAGTAAGTAGAAACAAAAAAAGCATAAGAAACTGTGAAAGAAACTGTAAAGGCAAAAAGAAGAAGCTTAAATAAGCGACTATACAAAAATCTGCAGTGTAGGATGCTAACGCAGTAGCGCCAGCAAAAACCTAAAACTACTTTTGCGACATGAACCCTATGTCTTCCTGAAAGTTTTAGTTTCGTGCTTTAATCTTTCGTTTAACTTCTAAACAATTATACTGTTGAAAACTTCCCGTCTAGTCAAAAATCACCTGTCGTCTTCTCCAGCATTCCTAGTAATAACGTACTATCTGAAAAAAACTCTTCTCGTTTACCGTATACTGACTCATAGAAGTTGAACTCCGCTCTTGCAGGCTGTTCCAGGTCTGAGAAAAAGTTAAAAAAAAACTGCAAATTCACCTCTAATTTAAGACTTCCTAAGTTCCAAAAAACTGAGATTTGCAGAAGCGCCAATGACAAAAGCGCAAATTCAAACAGTAAGAAATTTTCTAGAGCTTTTTACATTTTTTTCCTATAGGACTGGCTAACGACGATGTTCGAGTTACGCACAGGTGGTATTCAGTTGGCGGACTCTGTAAATCACAGTATTACCCCTATATACATACACGATAATAAATGTTTGTCATAACATTGTTTCAACGAGACTTCTTCCACAAAGCTAGCTCAAAACAGTCTTTGCACTTCCGTTGCAAAATTTCGAAAAACCAAACTATTGCACCAGCATAAAAAAAAATCAAAAACTCGGAAAAACCACAAAATAGCATTTTTTTGAATCCATGACAGCATCTAAACCAAATGTTTGGCAACACCCACACTTATATATCAATCCAGAAACAATAAAAACTAATCTTATTATCTGGTCATCTACAAAAATGAGACGGTCATTACAACGCTTAATCCCAAAACCCACTTATAGTAAAATTTTCCACAGCTTTCTGCCTCTCCGTACAAAACTCGAGCGTTTTAACAAAAACACGCAGTTAAAAAATAATTGATTAATACGGGCTATCACCTGAGTAATATAAAGAACTCACTGCAAGAAAATTGTCTGCGATTTATTGTTTTTGGATTTTTAACTACAACTGCAGTGAACCTGAAGTTACCGTATTTTGTAACAGACGGTAATTGCACCAAATTAGTAAATCTCTATCCTACAAGAAAGTGAGCACGAAAAAGTAGAATTGCGATTAGAAATTTTTATAAAAGATCCAGCAAGAGAATGAAACTATAGAGAAAAGAAAAAAAACATTCAAAAATGCAATGCACTGTTCAGTAACGCAAAAAATATTCGAAGAACCAGTATATTATCTGATAACCTATCTACGATTATTTACATGAGATATTTGCAAGCCAAATTTTCCGAAGTAAATCTTAGTAGCAAGGTGCTCTTTATAAACTATCGAAAGAGGTCAATCATACTTAAATAATGTTTCTTTGACTCCCTCACGCCCCACTTTGGAATAATAAAAGAATTAAGTGATATCATTTTAATCACTTCCTCCAAAACCAGACAATATTAAGGAATAATTTTACGCGGTTGACGGACAAGGAGTAACCGCAACGAAGGACTGAGAACTACAACCAAATTTTAATGCTTATGACAACTAAAGTACAGGATAAAAAATGCAACAACAAAAAAAAACTGACCTTTAAAAATATAACGACTAAAAGCTCGCATTACCCTATCATTTATGAATTAAGAATGAGCTATAACAAGTATTCAAGAAGCTGATCAGCTTATTTAGTATAAAAATATGTTACTCCATACTTTATACATGACAACCAATTAGTAGCAAATAACTGTTACACCAACGACAGAAGGAAACTAATGATTCGTGTATTACCTTCATGAGATCAATTTGCGTCATGTGAGATATGGACGAAGAAAGCGAACAAACCCAACTAACAAATTTCCACTTAGAATTGCAACCCCGTAATAAACTAGAAATTTGTGTAAAATAAGGCGGCGCCTGAAATGACAAACATTGAAAAAAGATAATAATAACTGTCTAATTATTTAAAAGAAAACTGAAGTCATTCCGAAAAGAACAGAAAAGTAATAATAAAAATAACAGACGCCTTAGTATATTTCAGTCGTACCAGAAACGAAATTTTTTAATGAAATACAATTCACCTCGTTGAAAATTGAGCAAAAACACTCTCTATAACTGTTTCGCTGATAAACTGCCCATCGAGACCGTAACATGGAACCGCATTTAGTAATGCAACGGCTGCAAAAAAATATTTAGCGAGCTGTAATCCAGCTGTAACTCCATTAACCATTAAAAACAGAGCAACTGCAAAATACAGCTACAAAAAAAGTTCCTGGACATTTACCCAGAGAAAACGTAACGAGGTATTTCGAAACCAGTTCAGAAGCATATGGCAACCATGGAAACGCAAAAAAGTATAAAGGGATATAATCGCTCAACTTCACGAAATATACCAGCTAAAAAAATAGGAATATCAGAGACTAAACAGCAATGTCAAAAAGACCTTCAGAAATCATCCTGACGATAAAAGACTTCTTCAAACATAGCCCACTTTAATGAAATAATCGACTTAAAATCTGGGAAATTCTTATAATTCTAAATTTCTTTCCAGACAGTGCAAGTAAAGCAGTTTTGCGAAATTACATATTCTGTTACATTAAACGAATAAAAAATAAACTTCATCAGTTGTTCCAATAAACAAAATTGGTCGCGATGTATTGCCAACATTAATCCTCAACAGCAAAGTTCCATTAAATAAAGCCGGAAAAGCGCACTGCGGCCCGTTCGGGTATCCGGCACAGTCCAAAGGTGTTTTGCAAGTTTCATAGTCTAAAAATGTACATAGCTAAAATCTTTGAAGCAATTAAAGCGAAACAGTAAAAGAATTCAAGAATAACATAATATGTCACCAGTAACAAGTCTTGCTGGCAGACAGGCGTATTTTTCGTCCTGGGTTTTCTTAATAGCTGTTGGTTTACTTAAAAATGCAAAAGCATCAAAATTTTTTGATCCCTGTTCAACTTTACGAGCGTTGCGATTGAGGATAAAATTAGACTTCCTCTCAAGCGCCTAAAACCTTACTTTGAAAACTGTAAACAGAAGATTCATATCTATATTTGTATTAGGTCCCTGAATATCAGCCTCACAAAACTCGGAAACAAAAAAATAAGCACTTTCTAAGCAACCTTAATATCTCGTTTCCGGGCTGCTTTAAAACCTAGTGATTCAGCCAAATTTGGTGCCAGCGTAACACCTCGACTCAATGGAAAATCAAATAAAAACTTTTTTTTTTTCACAGCAGCTGAAACGTTTTTGAAGTAAAAGCAGATATGCGATAATGAGACATCCTGAAACTCATCGCAGCAGTGCATCTCACCACCAAATGTTTCCACCTGAATACAACCAGAATATAACAATAAACCGTAATTATCTGTAGAAAAGGAAGAAAAATAAAACAGAGTAACTATGCTTAAAGAGCATACCAATTCTTCAATAAATCAGCAAACTACCAAAAAAGTTACAAGTACTCCATCCAATGCGTCATAAAGTAAAACAACGCAAAAAACAATTGAATCAGAAAACAACATAAATACTATTACCTTCTTCGCCAGACCTGGCAAAATTTTTTCGTTTGGAACACAGAAACCAACTTTAGTTCCTTTTATTTCAGCCAAACATTTATACCAATCTGCGGTGCTTTTTGTGGCACAGCCATTAATATTATATACAACATCATTCTTGCGAAGTCCAGCCATTCCACTCAATCCAGAACGCAAGTCTACATCTTGAAGAAGAAGACGAACTTATAGTGAATGATGACTAATTTCCAAGATTTTGTTAAAAAATAGATATAAAAAGATGATGAAGAAATACCTCTTATATAGACACCATTTCCACGTAAATACAATGGAGCTAATACATAAGGCACGACAAGATAAAGCAAATATCCAAAAAATGCAAGGACTAGATTATGCCATATTCCAGCTCCAAAAATGCGCATTTTCTGAGCCGAAGATGAACGGCCTTTAATAGATACAGCCTAATAATATTTTCTTTCTTACTTAATAAGATAGTAATGTCAAGGGTTTACCAAGTGCATCTGTTTGCATTTCAGTAAATGCTCCTGGGTAGACAGCAATTAAGAAAATGCCAAAACCGCTGACAGGCACATTAGCATCAACTGCTGCCATTGCATGTCCCAGTTCATGGACGACGCCAACAATAGTCAAAACCAGCAAAAAAAGAGGGACATGTTCCCATGGAATATTGACTCCAGGAACTATGGGAGTTAAACCGACTAAAATCAGTTACAAATGCTTTAAACCTTCCGTACTGGCATAAAATTCAACAATAGATAACCAATAACCATCAGAAGCTATACCTTCGCTTTCAGTTTGCCGCTGCGTATGACTTATAAAGCCATGATCCTTAACCTGATTCAGGTGAAATACTGGTGGAACGAGCTGCTCTTCAGGATATGGGTAGCTGGGCCACCAGGGAGCAAAAACATCCCAAAGAAGCTTCGTCAAAAAAATAGTTACGCCGAAGAAACAAATCAATGAAACTGTAGCGCCTACCGTAAACCAAACAGAAACAGCTCGAGATATTAATGAATACTTACTGGGACTAGATGCAGCAAGCGGCTGGTAAAGAAGAGATTGATGAAATCTGTTCGTGTAAAAACGTATCTAAAAGCGCACAGCATATTTAAAGAACAGAAAGTGACTGATATTTAATACTTCTAGCTCGACATTTAATAAAGTCAAACAAGCAAAAAGTTGGCAGCACAAGTCACATACTTCCTGTCTCACTATGACATGAAAATCTTCTTTGCTACGTGCTCAAAAACATAGCTTTTATAAATATTTTAAGGCACCTAAATATTAAAAGAGTTCAACAAGATATTTTTCCTAAAAACCCACTTCACACTCAAAGTTTTAATTCTTTCTTTCGTAAAATTTCCGAGATAATATTTTCCTGTAGTCCTACTTCTGCTCCTTCCATTCCCGATAGTTCTGAGAACCTACACCCTAACTTTTCGTCAGGCTTCTTAACTATAATGCGCAAAATGCCCAAAGGGTAAAATGTATATGGCTGACGGAATGGAAATATGGAGGAAAACGGACCCACTAAAAACGAGAAGTTAGAATAATTTATTCTTAAAAATCAGAATCAGCGGAATATATGTCAATATAGACGAAATGTACGGCAGAATCCCAACCAATCAGCACTGTAAACAATGTTCCCCAATCATGGAAAACATACCGGTGCACATCGAATGCAACCGGTATAATGGTACCTATTCGTAATTGGGAATTTATGCTACAAAGACAATATTTATAAAATTATTAAAAAGACGATACAGTGAACAAACCTGAAAGAATGACACAGAGAGGCCAATATGATCGGCAAAGTTGATATACCAATGAACAGCGTTTGCTCTTAGGTAGAAATCTGTGAGGAAAAGAAGACTCCAAAAAGCCAAAAAACAACTGAGTGCAGTGGTAAGAAGCATTCGTAGAAAACTTTCTTTTGTTCCATTCGAAGAAAGAAACGAAGCAAAAGCCGGCTTGCAGCTCTGGTGCCCCTTATTCGGGCTTTTCACATGAAAGTTCACGGCACTCAAGACATTACAAGAATTTCTCTATCCTAAAAAAATTCTTCATCAAACCAGTTCAACAGTCAGACAGAGAATATTTAAAAAAATAAGTTGAACAAGGATTCACTTCTCAAAATAGCAAATAAATCAAAACGCATATAACTAACATACAGCAGTGATTAGAAGTCAGCTACAAGAAGAGAGGTCAACGAGATTCTAACGAACATCCATAACTTTTATTCTATTCTTAAAGATCTACGGTCTTATTGAGCGTAGTATGAAAACATGACAAAATTTCTTTATCTGACGAAGCAAAAATTTTAACTCCATTAACTGTGAGCTGAAGTTTTTTAATAAATAGAAAAATCAAGCGGCCAACAGGAATATTTACGAGCAAAACAAAGACGAATGACTCATAACGTTGTCGTATGTAATACAACACAATTAGGGCTACAGAAGCAAGTCTCCATACACAGGTGTTCCAACGTGACTGGAACTAGGACTGGTACAAGAGCACATTATTTATATTTTGCAGGAGCTCCACCAATAGAACTCCGGCATTCTCCTGACAGATTCAGAATAAAAACTTCGTAACCAAAATAAGAATGCAATATTTTTGACGAGAATCTTGCCTAAGAAATATGGCTGTTACACTTTGTTTTTTTACCAGTGCAGCACAATTTTCACTTTGAATTGCCATTGGGAAGTTGGTGCAAAGACTGCTACAAGACAGTTCTGAATCTTGGGTTGGAGATCTGATGACGGACCATTGTAAAATAAATTGAGGCATGAGGTTGGTGTGTTGCTTCTCTGTTGATCGACCAGGTGTTCTGGTTTTTTATTTATTTATTTAATTATCATTTTTCTTTTTCTGATTTTCTCTTATCTCTTTATTTTGACGGGACCTCTATTCCTTCATGTTTTCTTTTCTTTATTCTTGAGTTACTCAGAGCTACATAAATGACCATTTGGCTTTATTTCCGTAAGTTATACCAATTTTTTATTTTATTTTTGTAAGTGGTAGATGAGTATAGTACGTATTTTGATGGCAAATCTCGTCTCAGACATTCTTTTGGATTTTTTTCTTTAAAGTTGTATGCTAAACATGTTTCAGAAGTTACTTCTTTAATGGCTGTCGAAAGAAAATTTTTTTCATCGAGATTATACTAATGTTATATTGTATTTTCGTCTACCAAATGTAAAAATCCTGTCTGTTTTTGGTTTAACTGTACTACACTTCTCCCGAATTATTACTTTAAATCTTACTGTAATATGTGTCTTACCCTAACACCAGCAGTCATTGTTCATAGATTTTTTGCAGCTCAAAGAACCTTGGGATTCTTTGCATTTTCTTGAAATTCTACATATTCTTCAAAAATGAGCTGCTGGTTTAAAAGAAAAAAACGTAGATTAGGGCACCTAAATGTTTAAAACTCTAATAAGGCTTCGATTTCTAATAAAGGAGTATAGAATAAGGACAGTAACTTCTTTAGTGAGGTTTTACGGGACAACTGGTTCTGCTTTAATCACTACATTATCATACGACATTTTAATCAGTTTTGCGTTAGTTTTAGTTGTTTGGTAATGAGTGCAACAGCCAATAAGCTTGAAGTCGGCACTGCATCTTGCTCCACCTCCCTGTTGTCTCCCTGTACGGCATATTTCCGGCAGTCCTTGCGGTATTATCCAAAGCACATTAAGGTCGCTATTCTCTTACTTTCTGAGCCGTTGTTTAATTTCCCGTGAGTTTTCCCTGCGCTTCTTACACGTTATTGCTTTAGGAAATCAAGTGGAATGTTCCACTTTCACCAACTGTGCCAAAAGAGTTCCATTTTAATTGTAAATGCCGGCCGCCAATGATGACTTCAGAAGACAAGAGGCTAAAGAATCGTAGGCTGAAGGTCAATATAGCTGAATTCCCTGTTCTTTCCCCAAATACCTTAGCATTCAGCAGCAGATTACGGTCGTACACTCATGCAGAGGTCTGTTCGTCTTTTTGATCTAACCGTCGAATTAGGATACATGAGACAAACTAATTTTGTGAAATTATTTGCATTAGTCTTTGCAGGCGAAGGACGAGGCGAAGAAACGGGAAATTCGTCAATGGAAAGGATCTCTATGATTGGCTGTGGGAAAGATAAACTTAAAGTAACTTTTTTTGAAATCATTTAAAGTAATCTATTTTGAGACAAATTTAAGGGGATTCAGTTGTACTTGTACTTATAGATTTGCATCGTGTTTTAGTTTTTGATCTCTCATTTCTCTGTTTTTCATATTAACACTTAGGGATGTATATTATAAGTGTACATTTATGTATGTATGTATGAGTCAGAAAGAGTTTGGCCTAAGTATATTCTCGCTGTCTTAATTATCGTTCTGTACAACCTGTACTTTACTTATGTGAATAAGTGTATAGAATGTGGATATAATTGTATGTTTCTATTTACGCTTTTCTTTTCTTTACTTTTATGGCAATAGTTCTTGAAGACTGCTGAATAAAATTTATCTCACGTCTTTCTTGTTCCTATTTTTTTGAGTACTCGACTATTTAGCTGCAATAACTTTGTGGCATTTTGCCATTAGCGCATTTCATTTCTGTCTTACAATCAACTTCCACAATACCGAGACCTTTTTCTGTGGGAGCTTGTTTGGGTCTCCAAGATCTGAAATAGTTTTAAGGCTATTTAAGTTGCTCAGGAAATGCTTATTGTTTGATTTCCCAGTTAGGTTGAAATTTGGGGCTTGATACAAATGTATTAGAATCTTTTGTTCACATCCTTCAAAGTAGGTTTCTAGATCTTTAGAAGGGGCCTGATTTCATCCTTAGTCGCAACGCTCGTGAAGTTGAAGGCCGATCAAAAAAGCTTGGCCCTTTTGCATTTATAATTAAATCAGCAGCTATAAGGGAAATGCAGGATGAAAAATACGCTTGACTACCTGCAATACCTAATACTGTTGATGTGATATGTTTTTCTCTAGTCTGTACTGTTTATTTTTAATTTCTTTTATTTTCGTACAAGAAAGCTTCAGTCACGTAAAGGTTAAGATTGTGGGACTTGCAGAACAGCTCTAGGCTGGGAGGAATACCCAAGAAAAAATCCCATCGTGTTTTTCCAGTTTTGTTTGACAAGATTTCCCGGCTGGAATTAATGTTGGCAGTGTGTCTCGACTAGTTTTTTTCTTTTTTTTTTTTTTAAAGCAACTAATAAAGAATATTGTTAGACCCTTCTACATCTCTTTTCCAATTTTTATTGCTATTTATAGCAGCTCGGCCCAGTTTTCAACTGTCGGCGGTTCATATGGCCATTTGTTGTTCAGAAAAATTGTTTCGGTTAAATCTTCTCTGGAACATCTGAAATTCATTCATCGGCCATAAAATTAACTATTCTGTACCTTACAAGCATTCCTAAATTTTTGAAGATTTCGCCATCGTATTATGTGCTCTTACTTTTCAGGCTGTCAGCAGCTCTTATTTATAAATTGTATGGAATTTTAAGGAAATATGTAAAAATTCTATGGTTTCAAAAATTTTATATAATCTGTGGATATAATTTACTGCTGTTACCGCCGAATGGGTTATAGAAGCTTTGATTTTTTTTGTTTTTTTTTTTTTTTTTTTTTTTTTTTTTTTGTTTTTTTCTTTTGACTTTTTGTATTTCCTGTCAGTTGTTAATCGAGTTTTGTATTGCGCAAATTTGAAGTAATCCAGATTCCTCAAATTTAAATAATTTATTCGATTCGAGAAAAAAAAGTGGTGGATGTTTCAAAATAGTTTAGAGCAGTTACAGTAATTAATGAAAAACGAAAAAGATTGATGTTTTTCTTTTCTACTGAAAAATTTTTAAAAAAAACTTTCTTTTTTGGCCTAAACTGTCTGACGTTTATATGGTAGCAAAAAACCACAGTAAATTTTTTACATTAAAAACTGCCAAACTACTCTTTTGTTTGTTTGAGAACTTTATAATTTTGGTATTTCACGCCTAGAATGCCTGATTTCTCATTACTTTTTACTCACTTAACCAACTGTTTGTTCTGGTTCGGTGACACTTGTAGAGTTCCTTGTTTTGCTATAGCATTGCAGTTCTGACAGCTACATTGGTCAATTTTTACTTTGACGCTTTGTATGATCTTTTAAAACTTCTGTTTAAGTGAAGAATGGCAATTTTGCTTTAACAGTGTGAATAATCAGCTGTATCTTTAACTGCTAAGGGGAAATAGATGTGCGACTACAGTTAGAGAGATTCAGAAAAGATGAAAGCCCCTTCTAAAAAGACTACGGAAAGGGAACTTTTGAAAGCTGAACATAGACACATTACATTACAACGTTCCTCTGTCAAAGCGATAGACTTACTGCTAACACTGCGGAAGTTTAGACAACAGCTCGTTCTTCAGTACGAATAAAGTAGTTAAGCCGCAATCAGACACATATTTGTTGATCTGGTACCCAATTTACTTCCAAATTTAGGAAATTAATTTATTTCGACTTTTGCTGAGAAGTGGCATCAGTTTGGGCTGCCACTGTTTACTGCTTTTTCGTTTTAACGTCTTTGCTACATATCTTTTCGTTACAGATCCGATCTGAAAAAAACTTTGCAGTTCAAAAGTGAGGGTAGTAAATGCTGTAGTGGGCAAAGTGAATTCGAAGCATGCAGTTTTTTCTGTGATATCTAATGTACTAAAGGTTATAAACAGCTTTATGTGCTAATGAAAGTTGCAACTAAAGTGTTCTGTTCTTTTGGCCAAGTCATCATTTTAAACAAGTGGGTATTTCTAAAATTTTTCTCATCCAAATTTGTAATCGTATCGTAACTTTGAAGTACAGGATTCAGTCTGGTTGTTGACTGATTGAGTGGAGAAGGAGAAAAGGATTGTGCGCATTTCTGAAGCAGTGATACTTCAGATTTTTGAATAGAGATAAACAGGACGCTGCTAAGTTTGATAGATTTGCTTTCTCTGCTTTTGACTGCTGTCTAGTTACCTGCGTAGTTAGTGATTCTGTTAGTTAAAACTACTCCTCTTGTTCACGCTGACAATAAAGTATTAAGAAAATTGTTTTCAAGAAGAGTCAGTTGAAAGTTATGATTTCTTTGTCGTGATTACTTTATTCCAGGAATCTGGGAAATACGATGGGATTCAACGATCGTTGTTGGTGAAAGAAAATTTTTTCGGATTTAGTAGCTGTTTATTAACGTTAGGAATTGAGCAGATGAGCATTACGCTTGCTCAACTTTTTCTTTAAACAGCTTTCGTAGTACTGAGACGGAAGGATTTTGCGAGAAATTTGCAAAAGTGTAAACCTTGGTGCTGTTGTGCTCTGACAATACTCTTGGTTGAATGGAAAATGGATAACCGTCTCAATTTTCTTATCAACATTTACTATTCTACCTTAGTTTAATTTTTTAATGATTGATTCTATAGCTTACAGAGTTTGTAGCTGAAGAGTTTCGTATGTGTAAGAATAAAACAGGGATAAGACTAGGAAAACCCAATGGACAAAAATGTTTTGCGGTAAAGTGCAGAACAGTTTTTTTGGTTTTTTTTTTTCAAAGTCTTAGTTTGATATTTCCGTTTCAACGTATTTACTAGTAAGTGACCAGTGGAAAGTTTTAAATAGTAATTAATTTCACGAAAATTCTAGACTGTTCGTCTTTCTCAGGGATAGCATTTGTGGCTTCCGGTTTACCGTTGACAAATCCCTTCACATTCATATTTGCCTCTGAAAATATTTGCTTTGTGTTATTCATATGTTCCTTTTACCTTTTCATATAAATCAGACTACTGTCAAGGAAATTTTTCCCGAACTATATTAGGAAGCCATAGCATGAACTTGAGGTAATTTTGTATGAAACTCTACAATAATGAAAAATTTTGTTGTTTTCTAATCTTTCACTTTTTCCTATTTTTCATTTATTGCAGTTGGCAATAATTTTTTGCAACATTCTTTCTGTTCTCACATTTGTTCATTTTGCTTTCACCTTCTGCACTCTAAACTTCGTGGTGTAGTTGCTACCAGAAAAAACATTCTTCAAAAACTTTGTCGCATGAGCTCTTTAAATAATTGGTAAACTCAATCCAGACACGAAATTCTTTTGATCATCCAAAATATAAAAGTAAAATTTTGACTGTAGAAGGCGACAATGAAGATCGGATTTGTGGAACTGAAAAAGGAGCAAACAGTTACCTCTCAACGGGCGAAGTAACCAAAAACGTTGCTAAGGCTTGTTTGGAAAGAGAATAAGTAGTATTGAAACAGTGTGTATTTTTCGGCGGTGTACACTATCTCAGCTAGGGTCTTATGTTTCAACTTGTAGTGAATTAACAGAGCCATAGGAATAAAACAACTTTTTTTTTTTTGGAACTTGATCGTTGACCATGGAGTTGTATCATTAGAATAAGGAACTGTTTTTGCTATAAAATTCTTTATGGAAGTAGTATGTGCCGGTGAAATATAATACGAGGAAAGTAGAGATCGAAAACTTTTAAGAAGAAAAATTTGGGCGACATTTGGAAAATTTTGAAGAATTTAGTCATAGAGTTACTTAGCGTAAAGGAACGATTAGGGGAAAGATATGTGTTTTGCTTACAGATATATCGATGATTTCAAATGCGATGTTAATTTTATTGTGCACAGAGGCATATGTGGAGCGATGCTTTGATGAGTGTTTATTGCGAAAAATTATTTTTGAATGTTGGTAGTAGATAAACAAGACGGGTTGATGAGTGAACTTTACACCACCAATTTTCTTCTGTACATAGTCGATGAAGATATACAACCTTAAAGTTTAATTATACGCTATTTCTGGTTAAAAATTACGACAAGGAAGCGTTAATTGACAATTCTAAAATGTAATTAGTCGGTTACAGTAGTCGTCGGTAATTATAGTAGCGATTATTGTATTATAATAACGCAGCTCAATTAATGCCCTCACCTCAGCTTTCACACCTTTCACTTAATAAACTTTGTATCAGCAGAAAAGAACAAAAGGTTTTGGTTTGAATGTCGATTAAAAACAGGTGGTTGCCATCGTTATCAACAACCGCTACGGATAATCACAAAATATTTATCAGCTTTCAGTACACAAACAAAAATTTTGTTTTTTAACTTTATCACCTCCACCCACACTATCTTTGCTGCAATATAATATCGAAACATTTTTATACACATTAAAAAATGAGTAGGAAAAAAAGTGGATGCTTGGTTTTTCTTTTTTCTAATACATTCAGTTATGCAAATCTTATTTGTCTATTAACTGTACACAATAAATGTTTTGTAGAAATAACAAATCGCATAATTTCAATCAGAATTTATTACAACAAAAATAAGTTTATTG